GTTTCATCAGTATCTTGCACAATACAACTGAACAGACCGCTGACGCCTTTGGAGGATATCCGCAGAAAGGCAGACCCTTTGTATCGCTGTATATCCGTGCTTTATCAATCCTTATGGGAGGAAGCACTCCACATGACATTGATGACACAAGAACGGGACAAAATTGCTTACTACACATACCTCAGTTCAAACTGTGTGAACTACAGAGAGACCAACTATAAGATCCTCACACTCTAGTATGATACCCCTCAAAAACTTCCCGTATAGTCCTGATATGTGCTGGCGATGCGAGAGTGGGCCATGTTCTCTCCTCCACATTTTCTGTGAGTGCTCAAGGATTGTGCTGTATTGGCAGAGAATTCACAAACATATGCTCAAGTTGGCAGATGAAGGTGTGAATTGGCACTCGGCGAATTTGTTGCTTAACCGTTCCGCTCTCCCGGTCTCCAAATGTAAGAAATCCCTCTCTTGACACTTGCTAACCGCAGCATGCTCTCTAATACCCACTTTCTGGAAATGGAGGGACACTCTGACATTCCAAGGCTGGCTCAGTAGAATAGAAAAGGTCCGCCAACTGGAGGAGAGGGTTGCCACAACTAAAGGAAGACTGGAGAAGCATGAGGAGATCTGGAGAACCTGGATTTACCAGTTGGTGCCCATAACAATGACAGGAGCAGCTGTGGGGGCTCCTTGGGGGGGTTTGAGCAGGCAGGACTGGATCAACAATTCAGGACGAGTACCCCCCTGCCCTCATCTTCCCCCTTTATTTTTTATCTTCTCTCTCCCTTTCCCCTCCAACTTTCCCTCTTTGATTTATAACGTCTGCTATATTTGTGCTCTCCCTCTCAAAGTGGTTCCTCACGAAAGCTCACTTACCAGGCCGCACGGGATAGTAACTGGATTAGGCTACCACTTCTGATGATGTCAGCAGACTGCTTGTTTTTCTGAGTCAAATAGCATGCAGAGTTACAGCTTCAGGCTTGAATACAGTAAGATTTTGCACGAGGGGACCAGGGGGGCTAGATGTTGGTTTTAACACTATAGGGGTCAGGAATACATGTTTGTGTTCCTGACCCTATAGTGATCTTTTAAGGCAACCCTCACCCTTTCTTTTTGCCCCCTACCCTGTGGGAACCTGACAATTTGTATGGAAATCAATAGATAGTACTTTAATGCTCAGTTCTGTGAGCTTGCAAAGCCTCTTACACTTAGTGGCAGAGCCGCTGTTACTGAATATTTGTGCAACGCAATAACAGCCCTTACAGATAAAATTGGCAGTTGTAGTATAGAAGAATTTTAATATTTCATTTGTTCTTATTTGACTTGTTGAAAAAAAACATACTGAGCCCTGCTGGTTTAAATAGTTAAATCCATGAAATAGCAGTGTTAACATACTTCTGACCATGTGGTGTATGAAGGCTTTCAGTAGATGCAGTGAAGGCTAAATTGATAAAGAAATGAAAGTCTACTTGGAATGTACTCAGAATATGTAAAAACACTTAAAGGAACACCATAGTGTTAGGAATATAAACCAGTATTCCCAAAGCTATAGTGCCTCTGTACCTGGATATATATATAGGCCCTCCTGTTTGCAATAAAAATGAAAGAAAAAAAAATGAAAGTATTTACTTACCTTTTTTCAGTGCGAGACTCCTTCGGCGTCACTGTTTACCTATTCGCCTCCCACAACGTCAAGAATCTCCCAGCATGGTCCAATTCAAAGCACCTCATTGAGGACAATTGAGGATCTAATACGCACATGCTACAATTGTTTTCAATGCCTTCTTGTGGGCGCCTGTGTCACATGACAGAGTTTTACTTGGTTAGTGCAGAGGAAGCACCTCGAGAGATTGGATTTAACCCTGCAATATAAAACAACCCTGTTTTTTTTAGAAAGTGCAATGTTTACCATGCATGCCTAGTTCCAATCCATTGCTTCTCTATTAGAAGCAAAAGATTGGAGAACACAAGTGATGACAGCTTGGATGCGGACATCACCAGAGTAGGAGCTGGATGCTGCAGTGAAGGAGTCCTGGTACTGGAAAGGAAGTGAGTAAACTTTAATTGATTTAACTTTTTTATACAATAGGTGGTGGACAGAAAGGAAGCTATAGTCCCCAAAGAATAATTGTTGATTTTGTGACTAATAGGTTTCCTTTAATATGATATTTACGCACACTAACTTAATCACTCAATTATTTGTCATCTTATAGAGTTACATAGCTGAAAAGAGACTGGCGTCCATCAAGTTCAGCCTTCCTCACATTTTTTTTTGCTGTTGATCCAAAAGAAGGCAAAAAACAAAACAGTTTGAAGCACTTGCAACAAACTAGGAAAAAAATTCCTTCTTGACCCCAGAATGGCAGTCAGATTAATCCTTGGATCAAGCAGCTATTACCCTACATTGAAAAATTATATCCTTGAATATTCTGTTTTTGCAAGTATGCATCTAGTTGCTGTTTGAACATCTGTATGGACTGATAAAACCACTTCTTCAGGCAGAGAATATATTTGTATAATGTTATCATATCCTCTCTCAGGCGACGTTTTTCTAAACTAAATAGGTTTAAATTTGTTAACCTTTCTTCATAGCTGATATTTTCCATTCCTTTTATTAATTTTGTTGCCCGCCTCTGAACTTTTTGCCATAGTATCCTTCTTTAGAACAGGTGCCCAACATTGCACAGCATATTCTATATGTGGTCTTACCAGTGATTTTCTCAGAATGATATTCTCATCCCGAGAATGAATGCCCTTTTTCATGCATGACAATACCTTACTGGCTTTATCCACTGCTGATTGAAATTGCACATTGTTGCATAGTTTGTTGTTTATAACAATTCCCAAGTACTTTTCGTGTGTTGTTATCCCTAATTTGCTACCATTAAGGGTATACGTTGCTTGTGCATTCTTTACGCTGAAGTGCATAATTTTGCATTTTATATATATATATATATATATATATATATATATATATATATATATATATATATAAAATATCCTTTATACCACCAAATCTTTTACTTAGGGTGTTTTTTGTTTTTTATACTTTCCACTACACAATATTTTCTTAAATCCCCCATTTGTTAGATCATGCTGATTACAAGTGCATTTTAATCACTAATGTATGTGTGTGTATTTGTAGCCTCAGAAGCATTGAGGAGTTTAACATTAAATGGAATATTGGCAGCAATGGAGTCCTAGAACTATAACCACATCAATTAAGCAGTTACAATGCCTACAGTGTCCTTTTAAATACCAAGCATTCTAATTGTGTTTGTTCCATTTTTAAAAAATATTTCTAGTGTCGTGACTATATCACTGGTTGAAAGTCATAGTGGTGCAGGAACATATGGCTGCACAGAAGTGAATATTTTTTTTTTTTTTTTTTAAATACTGCAATACCCTAACCTCATCATCTTTTTATATTTACACGTGGATCCGAAGACAGAGGATTGGAACACATTTTTCTATTAACTTCCATGTGGCAGTATAATAATTTGTATTCCTTATTAACTTATTTATGAATGCTTATTAATATTAATATTAATAAAAACAATTAAGAAATGTATACATTTAAACTATAGTGAAGATGTCTATAGTTGCAAACACGATAGAAAAGTAAATATGCATTCTGATTAACAATATTTATCTTAGCTTATTGTGTATGTACTGCACATCGATTTGTACCACACTTACCTAAAATGTGAATTTTTTTGATAATGTACAATGCAAGAAATTACCAAAAATGGCATATTGCGCACGTATATGAAAATCTAATATTTCCGGAGGCATTGCTTAGTCTATTATAAACCATAAAGCTGGTACGTATTTCTCTGTGTAGGAGTGGTGATGGAATATATTTAAATGCTGTTCACTTACACGTTGGCACTAATGAGCCTCATATTGATGTAAATGTATGACCCTGCGAGATTCTTTCCACCACAATTCAACACATTCCTGCCACCCAACTGACCTATGTGAGGAGTGGGAGAATATTTCTATACGCTGTGCTGTAGCGGTTTGAACTTTGTACAACAGCTTGGCTAGTTTTGCAGAAGTAAACAGCTTAAACCTGGACTACCACATTGGGAAAGTAATAATTTATAAACGCAACGTTGTACTGCAGATGCACTCTGTCACAGTAGACACAATTGACAATTATAAATGCTTCTCAGAGCTTTATTATAACAATCACAATTGTACATTAGATCTGGGAAGGCTGTAAAGGCAACTGCTGCCTAACGGCTAGATCTGCCAAGTCTTCAGACTTCCCTTTTGTTCCAAGTTGTCAAAGCCTAACAGTGGATCCTGCTTCACCCGCTTCCTATTAAACTGGGCATAAAGAGACGGATGCTGCTTTTCTCAGGGGTGCAGTTCACAATTGGGGTACTTTTGTTCCCACCATCTAGCTGTCCCATACCATTGGATAATGCATGATCTGTTCTTCAAAGTATTGACCCCAAGAATTGCAACTTACAGGACTTACAGGAATACAGGAAAAGTGTATAATCACAGCAAAAGATCACAGCATTTGTGTAGCACAAACATCACAGTATACCTGTAGCACAGTGTACAGGCATGTGATTGACATGTTTAACTGGTTAAAGTTTGCAAGATGTCTTTGTGTATGTATTTGTACACGTTGGCATATAAGCAGATTTATACATGTGTATTGAATGTGTGTTGTAGAGGTACAGAATGAGTATTTATCTGTGCATGTGCAGCTATCTCCTGTATACATGTATCCTAATGTATTCCATTTTCGCTTTCTCTATGTAGATATAGTTCTCCGTAAATAATCATGTATTTTTGGGTGCACTTGTATCTGTACAAGTCTTTGTGCCCACATAGCTAGTTTGCCTTGTTGCCTCTGCTTGGAGATTTTAAGGCTTTCTCCCCCTCTTCACTCTCTCCCAAGGCACTGCGTGCACAACTTGATCTCTGCTTTTCTCCTTTTGTCTAGGGACAGTCTCTGACGCAACTTTGTTTACGGTTCATTAGCACAGACTGGTGGCTGGAACATTAATGCTTGACAGGTGCTCTTCCTTTTTGCTCTGGTCCCACTGGTGTATAACTGGTGGGTAGATAACTCGTTCAGAGTGAGCCCATGAAGAAAAGGCAGCAGATCTGGTACCATGATGATAGCGTGCAAGTAACCCAACTAAAATGAACAGGAAGCAGAAAACAAGTGCCGACAGCGCTCTTTGTCCTCTATATCTATAGCCTGTGCCACTTTCCCTAGTCCTGGCACTGGCACAAGCCGTTTTCACCCGGCCTCCCAAAATAGATACCCGCAGGCATACCCTGCATTCCTCTCCTGGCAGGAGTCTGGTGACATTGTAAGAATTTCGTCCCACGGGTAGCCTTGCCCTTTCCACACTGGCACCTGGGGTTAAGCAGCTCCATCGTAAGCTGCATCCTAGTGCATTGAGAGGTGGAATCCAAGATAGCAACAAATGACGTTCACCTACTTCCCCCACTCGTAGTTGGACAGGGTCATCTCTAGATGGGTATAGCTGGTTTACCATTAGATGGACACTCTTGTAATCAGCTCCCACCAAATTTTGTGCTACACAAGTGTATAGTCCTGCGTGAGCTGATGATACTACCTGTATCTCCAGCGTCCCTTCCTCTTTTACCCTATAGCCACCCCACTCTGCAGATACTCTTAACTGCTCTCCAGAAGGTGTGACCCAGTATATCTGTGGCTCAGGTTCTGCCAGTGCTCGACAGTGTAAGGTTACACTCTGTCCACTGGAAGCCCGTACCCTAGGTGAGAAGGTTGGGACAGGGATAAGGGGCAGGCAACGGTCACTCATTTCTCGAAAAGGAACTAGTCGAAGCTGTGTGCGACGTAATTCTGGAGGCTCTGCACATAGTGTTGATTGAGGTTCCATGAATCGGACATGGGGGGCAGTGGCATTTACCCAACGAATAACACAGTCACATCGCAATGGATTTCCATGCATTGCAATTTCCTGCAAGTTAGGAAGTGACTCTACAGTCTCCCTGTGTAGAGAGCTTAGAGCATTATTGTTAAGCATAAGTGTTTCCATGCGAGGCAGTTTTTGAAAAGCTCTTGGATGGATGAAAGAAAGTTTAGGATTGTTTGTGACTTCTAATTTAGTGAGTTCTGGTAGGTTTATAAGTGCCAGTTCATCTATTGATACCAGTTCTTCCATGCTGTTTAATCCCAGCTCCTTAAGCTGGGCCATATCAGCAAAGTCCTTTTGTTGAATGATGCTTAATGGGTTCTTGTTGAGGTCCAAAAACTTCAAGCTTGTCACCCTCTGTAGAGCTTTCTTGGGTACCTCTACCAGTTTATTATCATAGAAAGAGAGACTTTCCAAGTTTACTAGCCCTTCAAGAGCAAAGTCCGATATGTCTTTCAGTCCCATACCAGCCAAGACAAGGCTTCTAAGGTTCGAAAGTTGATGGAAATTCATATCCTGGATGGAGCACACTTTGTTTCCGCCTACCATTAATACTTCAAGAGCTGGCAACTCCCTAAACCAACGGTTATCTAGACTTGTCAGTAGATTGGAATTGAGGTGCAGACGAAGCAGACGTTGCAGGCCAGAAAAGGCTTTGGGGGAGATGTATGACAGTTGGTTGTGGTTAAGATACAACTCTTCCAGACTCTCCAGTCCAGAAAAGCTATGGTCAGGCAACTGACATAATTGGTTCTCTTCAAGATGAAGGCTGACTAGCTGAGGCAGGTGTCTTGCATTGAAGTCTTGAATGTTTGAGAAACTGTTCTGGGATAAGTCAAGCTCTGTTAGGTTTTTAAGGTAGCCTAATTCTTGCTGCTCCAAGTGTGCAATATTGTTGCTTTGGAGAAGAAGAGTGTGAGTTCCTGCTGGAAGGCCACCTGGAACTTCTGAAACAAATAGGTCATTGCAGTCCACAGTATTGGCTTCTCTATAAGCTGACCTTGGAGTGTACCAGGGGCGTATCTGGCAAACACATTGTGACGGACATGCAACCTTCCAGGGTACAGCCGGGATGGCAGCTAGAGCGGACGATGCCCATAAAAGAACCAACTCCAACCCAAGAAGTACCATTCTGTACCCAAGAAAAATGTCACAGCTGTCTCTCCCCATTGGTGGTTTGTACAGAAAAATTCTATGGTAAAAATTCAATTGGAGAAGGTAGTACTATGTTCTCGCAATTCAGTCAGCAGCTGTCTGTGTTAACACCACTCTTCTGACTTGAAGCCAGTGGGCTTTTCCCTTCTTTGAAATTGATGACATAATTCAGTCCTTCCACGTCTTGATAACTTCTGTGAAAATAAAATACTTATGGTTAGGACACAGAATTCTTGTGTTTCAAATTCAGGATGGGTGGAAGGATGGATAATAGTACATAAAAACCAAATGTGGTCACATAGTAGAGGGGCTACTAAAACTAAAAACATCACTAAACAATTTTACAATCTTTTCTCTGTACAATTGTCAGTAGTAAGAATTTTGGCTTGTTCTGTATGTACACTGGGTGAAACGTATAAAAATGTATCAAAATATGTATATTAATAGAATCAGTAGGAATTATGTGTTGTTTGCATAGTTTTTAAAAGTTAGTCCTGTTCTATTAGTTACTCCTTTACAAAAGCCTTCCACAAGTTCTTGCTTAAATTAAATTATAGGACACATTTCTAAAGGTAGCACGGTTACCTTGGAAACCAATGGACTGTTCCTGCTGATTGCTCCACATACAGAACTTTGCATCACAAATACTACTTATAATTTTTTTTTTAATTTGCTCAATACATTATTTTTGTTACTTCTCCATGATAATCCTGAACAATTGCTATAAAGACATAGGCGTGCACAAGGGTGTGCACACTAAAGCAGAAACACACACGCCGCGCATATATATATATATACACATACACATACACATACACACACACACACACATACTGCTGTGTGTGTATGTGAGGGTGATGTATGTGAGGGTGCTGTGTGTGAAGGCGCTGTGTGTGTGTGGGTAGGCGCTGTGTGTGTGTGAGAGCACTGTGTGTGTAAGGGTGCCTTTTAGTGTGTGCTGTGTGTGTGTATGTGTAAGGGTGCTGTTAGTGTGTGTGTGTGTGAAGGTGCTGTTAGTGTGTGCTTTGTGTGCGTGGGTGAGGGTGCTGTGTGTGTAAGGGTGCTGTTAGTGTGTGCTGTGTGTGTGTATGTGTAAGGGTGCTGTTAGTGTGTGTATGTGTAAGGGTGCTGTCAGTGTGTGCATGTGTAAGGGTGCTGTGTGTGTAAGGGTGTTGTTAGTGTGTGTGTGTGTAAGGGTGTTGTTAGTGTGAGGGTGCAGTGTGTATAAGGGTGTTAGTGTGAGGGTGCTGTTAGTGTGTGTGTGTGTGTGTGTAAGGGTGTTGTTAGTGTGAGGGTGCTGTGTGTGTAAGCACCCTCTCCCTTCTTCTTATTTCTGTAATCCAATCCTATATGGGTACAGGAGGGGGTATATAGTGCAGTACTGTCTGTATTAAAAATACTATATGTAAAATAGTGAATTAGGTACTCACAAACCCAGAGCCGCTGCTCAAACAAGCCCACATTCTAGAAGGAGTGGGGTAAAGTGGTAAGGATAGGGTGTATTTAAGAGGTAAGGGTAGGAATGTATTTATGTATGGGATAATTAGGTTATTAGAATATTTTACAATTAAGTGTTGATTTTTCTGCCTGCTAGTTAACTACAAGCTGAGAATGTCTCTGTGTTGATACTTGGTAATATAAATATATCCATGCTAATGTTATATTATATTTAAAATGTGCACCCAGGAGGGCTGAGAATGGGGTCTGTTTTTCTGTTCTGTTTAATCAGCTGGTTAATAAATCTATTTTTTATGTAATATTAAATCAATATTAAATTGAGGCCTAAATTATATTTCCTGCTACCATGGGCTTAAAATTGAAATTCCTTGGTGGATTACTGACAACTCATAGTTTAATAAATAACCCTGTTTATTTTAGGTTCTGAACAAATAGTCTAGACCAGCGGTTCCACAGCACTGCAAAACATTACTGCTGAACAGGGGACCAGTCAGGTGCTGCAGTACTTTAAGACCGCGACCGGGCCCCTGTAATGTTGGCCGGCTGGGAGCAAGCGACAGCCTGTCACTTCCTTCCAGCATCATGCAGGGAGACAGTGCGGGAGGGAGAGGAAGCAGCCGCAGCATGAGGGGAGATGAGCACAAAGAGCTGCTCCAGACCCCTCACTCCCACCAGCAGCAGCAAGACCAGGACCCCAAGCCACCCTCTTTCAAATATAAATATTAAAATACACAGATTATGATAATTGGCCAGCAATCTGATATCATTTTTCAGAATGCAGATTTCAACAATGTACACATTGCGGTGTTTATTTCTTGAATACCGAACTGTAGTTAACAGTAAACAGAATTGCAACATCTCCCCTGAAACATTGACAGGAGCTTTGAAACTATGTTTGTAACTCATCTCAGCCATCAGAAGCATGGGATTTATAGCCTGCCTTCTGTCTGGACAGACACCTATCTGGGATGCTACAGGGATGTTCCATGACAAAAGTTGCCTCATCGCTCTGTACTTCATCCAGAGAAAGGATTTAGAAAGGGGACAATCCTTGCACTCTACCATCCCTGCATAATTTTATCCATGCTGTCATGGTTAGCATTCTGCTATGGCTGGCTGTGTGACAGTCATAAGAAGATACAGTGCAGTGGTTAAAATGCTTAGTGTGGCCCTTTCAGCTAATTAATGCATCAAGATGACATTTCACAGTCCCCAACCTTTTTTCAAAAGATAATGGTCGAAGTTTTAGTCCCCTGGCCATGCCCCCATGTATCTTATCTGGATCACCTAAATATTTTCTTCTTTAGGTTACCTAACCTCAGTCCCCAGGTCTGTGATACTCAGTACCACAATCTCTTTTATTTTCAGTCTCTTGGTCTCTCTCAATTCCAAGATCACTTACCTTCGACCAAATCAGTGCCAGGGTCTCTTACCTTAAGCAATGTGCAAGATGTCTTTGCGTTACTCTCTTACCCATACCCTTCAGTTCTAAGGTCTCTTAATATAAGTCCTCTCAGATTTACTTGTATCTTACAATCGATCTGTCTCAAGTATTATTAAGTGCCAAGTTCTCTTACGGTCATCTCCTTAGTGCCAAGCTCTCAGGCTTCAGGTCTCTAACTTTCAGTTTACAGGGCACTTCAGTTTCTACATTTCTCATTTCTCACCCTCTCTTTCAATGCAGTCTCTTCCTTTTTTTTTTTATTACCAACTACATCCCCATCAGCCTGATGGTTTTCAGGTGGAGATTGTTGAGAGAGTTACAGGTGAGGTAGAGAAGGGGAAAGAGACACAGATTGAGTGGAGGTGGTTAGGAGAGATAGAGGTGAGGTAGAGATGGGGTGAGAGATTGAGTGGAGATAGTTGAGAAAGATACAGATTAGGTAGAGATGGGGAGAGAGATACAGATTGAGTGGATATGGTTGAGAGAGATACAGGTGAGGTAAGGATGGGGAGAGAGACACAGACTGAGAGGAGATGGTTGAGAGAGATGTAGGTGAGGTAGAGAAGGGGATAGAGATACAGATTAAGTAGAGGTGGTTGAAGGAGATACATGTGAGGTAGAGATGGGGAGAGAGTCCTGCGCTCAAACTCCTACTACTTTTGGGCGGCAGCAACAACCATAGTACACATCAGCCCCAATACATACAGTACAAACCAAAGAAAAGAAAAAATGTACCTGCATTCTTCCCAAATCCCTATGTATATTTAAACAAATGGAGGTTATTTAGTTACTCCAATGGCTATGAGAGGTAATGCCTACCTGCCACATCAAGCTAAGTGTAGGACCCACCTAAGAGGTTTGCCTTGACATGGCATGTGGCCATTGGAGTAACTAAATAACCTCCATTTGTTTAAATATAGATAGGGATTTGGAAAGAGCGCAGGTAACTTTTTTCTTTGGTTTTTACAGATTGAGTGGTGGTTGAGAGAGAAGAAGGTGAGGTAGAGATGGGGAGAGAGACATAGATTGAGTGGTGATTGAAAGAGATACATGTAATAAACCAGCGAGAATTGCCTACACTACATTGACCTCCTCTGCAGGCAGAGGCGGACTGGGCCTACCCCACCTCTACAAATATTATATAGCGGTGCTGCTCACCCGATTAAAAGAATGGACTGACACCGCCAGGGCCAAATCGTGGTACTCCCTGGAACAAAGCTTTGTACTCCCTGCCCTGGCAAACCTGCCACCCCACAGCGCACACCCCTACGAGACATCCATTAATACATAACATCCTGACTCTATGGAGAAAGTATAAAGACATATGGGGACTATCAGAAATGGGTATGTAGGTCGCGCTAAAGGGACAAGGAAGTAAAATAAATGAAATAAATAAAAGTGGTAAAAAAGTCCCAAATTATAAATAAACCTGTGTTGTTCTAGGAGAGTATACAGTCCAAATGGATATCTGAATCTTCTTATGTTGATGTCTTGGAATGCTTGTCAATACATAGATACATAAAAAAAAAAGAGAGGAAGAAGAACTCCAATAGTGTAGAATGTCGATAAAGTTTCCAGGTATGGGTCTATAAGTAGGTAAATGACTCACCTTGGCGTGAGCAAAAAAACCTTGCTCAAGTATTCTTAGCGTTCAGTGGCGTCAATCCCCCACTGGTAGGATATAGGTGATGGGGTCCTGGACAATTCCTTGGGATATAAAAAAATGAGAGACGTATATAGTGCTCACTGATTTATATAAAAACAAATAAAAAAATGGTAAAATACTCACATGTACATGAGCAGGAAATACTGCTCAGTATGATGGCACAGGTGGTACAATCCCCACCTTAGGATTCTTGGAATTTGGCGTACTTCAATCCAAATTGATGACCAGGTAATTCAAATTAAAAATATAAAATAAAAGGAATTAAAAGTATATAGGCAAAAAAAAATAAGGGCCAATATTCCTTTATTAAAATATAATTTATCAATATATATAACAAACTTAGTAATAGCCAAAACGCGTTTCACCACACAGGGCTTTATCAAATGGCATTTAAAAGAGAGAAAAACCTGGTACACAAGCTGCTTTTATAAGCTAAAAAATACAAAT